CACGATCCATTTAATCCACTGAATCCTCAACCCAAACACCCACAGCAGTAGAAACCCGAAGCCACCGAGTCTTCAAACGAAATCATCTCAACGCCCAACCCACGCACTTAGCCACCCCGAGAACCCCGACTTTTTCCCTTCCCCCACTTCACAATAATACAAGATAATTCTTAAAATACAACTTTTCATTCTTCCCAAAATACACTTACTACGAAACCACTAACAATTACCAACTGAACTTTTTGACGGGTATAGCCTGTTCCCAACTTTATAATGGGCATCTTACTACCACTTCACTATTCATTAGCACTCCCTCTTACACAATAGCCCAGCCATTAAAGAAATAGGTCAATCCAGATTACAAAAACTAACTATAGCACTGCATGAAAAACAGTATACAACTATAAAACTAACCCAGACATTACATAGATTCGTAGCACAAAGAGCTAACAGATTTTCTATTAACCATTACGACCAGGCTATTGCACGATATATGGAGGACACAGCTATAGAAGAATACCCTAACACTAACCCTCAATTAACTGAAAAAATTTCTCATAAAATTAGAATATGTGTTCATCAATGATATCATGAATAAAAAATATGACAATATAATTTCGACCACACTCAAAATTACTAGTCTTATGAATCCTACTTTAATAAATTTAATCACTTTACACTAACCTTTCACTTCCTCACACCCATGGAATGTGATTTGCACTGTTCACATAAAAATATATTACGCACAAAAATAACTCAAACATACACCTATAATAAACTCATTCATTGCCACTACGTAACTTACACACCATCACGAAATCCACAGCACGGATTTATAAACTTAAATCCAAATACACTTTCTAAATTTTACTCTTTGTATAAAAAACAGTAACATACACAGTATCATCCGTAACTATGACCCAATCAGACAAATGTATAAATTCTGCCCTCTAACCATGTCCATCGAAATTGACGAATGCCGCCCACTTATCATCCCCCATGAATATCTACAGCTGATTGAAGTCCGCATGCTAGAATACATCCATGATTTTAAATATAATCACAAACTGTATAACTTAACCCAAGATACGTCGCATGACTTCTCATTAAGTCATGAAGAACACAACATCAACCGAGCACTTGAGCTTTTATGGACTCTTCTTCAGACTAAAAACGTCATTCGCATGCTTGTAAAACTCCTCACATCATCAGACACTTCTCGCTCTAATTTCCCAAATGGGTTTTTCGACAAAGACAACCCTTTGTAGTTATAATTAAAGATTTTAACTAGCAAATAAAAAAAAAACACTCACCATTCTTGATATATGTCTCACTTTTTTTTGTTAGATTTCACCGTTCATTCATCTAAAACAACAAAACAAATTTAATTTCAAAATTTCTTTTCAAAAAATGAATTTATGAAATAAAAAATGAGATAATTAATGAATTTTAAGTTTCAACGTTCACTCATAACAATTCTAACTTGCTTCCCCACGTTTCAAGCTTTCCTTTAACCCGGTTGAAAGGAGTAATAAGAGTAAGCGAAACTAACCAACGCAGCTTATTTAAGCTACAAAACCATAAACTAATGGCATGGCTAAGAAAGAAAATCCCACGGTACCCAAAAAGATTAAACCCAGATTAAAACTGGATAAATCATTCTCTTGAAATCCGCTTTCAAATTTTTTTGAAACCAAAAAAACACATGATTGTCCACAGACAAACCAAAAACAAATTATTCTATTTTTGAGAAAAGGATAGAAACAAAACAAAAAAGAGAGAAAAACATCTAATGAAAATGAAACAAAAGATTAAATACATACAGACACTATGTCCTAAGAGATCATAAAATGTAACGCACTCCTGGCATCACCAACCAGAGGGACGACCTGAGCATGCTCTATAGCCGACCTAATCCACCGCGCTACCCCCACGCGTTGTGACCTACACTCTTTTTTTGAGGAGAGTTGCTCCAGGGTGAGCGACTCTTTAAAATAACAGAACTAAAATAAAACGCTTTTGCGAAAAGAAATAATAATAAATCATACGTAAAAACAGACTTCACTAACAAAATGTAGATATAATAATGCATTATGATGAAATAGTTTGTTAGAGCCCAAGGAACGAGCAGCAAAGGAGAAAAAACTCGTCTATTACATTACAACTCTGGTACGGCAAATCTATTTGATTTGTTGCCGTAGTCACTACCCTCAAAGGATTTAAAATATGGACTCAGCATCGCAGCAAAGGAAACCCAAAGAAACAGACCAAATGCCATCTGGATGTTGATCTCATAAACCGATATTAGCCACTGGGCACTTCACACGGAAAAGTCAAACTTCACCATGCACGTAGTCTCGCTCTAAGCTTAACGAAATCGATAAATCATTGCATCGATCTGAATTCTTGACACAATCACCCAAGGCAATCCACGATCAACGAGACTTATCTTTGAAACACGAACAAACGAATTTTTTTCTCTGTTCTCAAACAATTACACCTCTCCTCTCTTCAGGAAGTCACTGCTCAAACTTCTAAAAGACAACTACTTCACAAGGCCTTCACTACAATGAACATTAAAAAAACTAACAACTCGCTGTACCCCGGACGGTTGGAACCAGTTCTAAACTAGACTTTATAAACCAATTATAATATTGATAAAACTATATCTATAAAATATTACTAACTTACCAATCAGATTCCATCACTAACATTGAAACTTAATTGTAAGTGCTGAAACTACTTGTAGTTTTAGCACCACAACAGTTTGAATAAATCTTAGACTACAGTTGTTCTCCTTCTGGATAAACTGCAAGAACTAACTCGCAAAGACCAGTATAAACTATATCTACTGAGACTAGTAGAAATAGGAGTAAGATTAAGATTGGTATTAGACTAAGAAGTTGCACGAACCTCTCCGGCCGAAAATAAGATAGCGTGACGAACAGACGGTGTGCCTTATCTGAAATTACGCTATAAGTACAGATCCCAGTCATAATTCAAAATGCATCGATTAAAAAAATTGTAGCTGCCCAACATATCTTTGCAATAATGATTTATTGCCAAAAAAAGACCACTATGCTGTCGGAACTTGAATTTTCCCATGAAGCAATTTTTTATTCAATAAAAAGGAGGACTTAGTTTTAATCATCGCAAAATGTGGGCCGTGGAACAAATTCCCATTTTGCTGAAATCGTTTTTATTCATATTGTTATTACTTACCAATAGTTTCAATTCATGCAATCAGATTTTGTCGGTTTATAGTACCTCCACTAGCAGGATAAGGCACCTACATACTTTTGTTATTCGAATTAGTTAGCAGTGACAAACCCATCTTTTGCAGTAAATCGATTTGTGTAATCCGATAAGTTCAATCAAAGTTTCGAGGTCAAAATGGCAGTTTGCGCTCGAGGCGATTTCTCACTTCAAACGTGCTCTTTTGTTCTTAGACCTATGTTATGATTGAGTTGATTATTTGTTCTCATGAATCAATTTTTTGCACCTGAGTTTAACTTTGATTATGGGTTGCATTCATTCTATACGCCAAGTAAAATACTTTGGGCATGCAAGAACAACAAGGCCATCAGGCTCAGATTTTTAGTATACGCTTCTTAAACCCCAAAAAATTTAAAATTTCAAAGGTCTTGAAGGATACCTACAAATGCGTACGTGCTTTGTCGTTGCTGTTCGGTGTTTCACTTGACAATTTATTCACTCTGAGGAATTCCTGATGGTCAGATCTCTATGCTCAGCAGCACTGAACCCCAACGTTATATTTCGAAATGTAATAATAAACAGATGAGCGGAATTAATAATTTTTAATACTGCAATGCTATCTAATTGTCTTCAGAAGTCAACTCAGATATGGACTATTTGTTGCTGCTATGATAAAATTATAGAAATGATATTGCCATCATGAGTCATCAGTAGAGCAGGAGAGTAACGACTAGTGATGAAGCTCAGTAAAATTGAAGGTGAAATGCTAACTATAGTGGTCTTCAATTTTTTAGGATAAAAATCAGCTCGAGAAAGCATATACTTGAAAACTGTCTTCATCCAGCGTGCAATTTTTTTATCAAACAGAAAACCATCTTGTGTGCAATTTTGGGATTTTTTCCAGAAAATGTAATAAAAACGTGACCAGTTCAGCGTTTTTAATAGCTAATTTTTGAATTTCCTAGCTCCTATTAAAGCTATAAGTGTTTCTTTAGTCATGAAAACGCGCCACTCGCACCTCACTCTAGAGCTGTGAATTGTTTGATAAACGAAATTGATTAACCTCTGTGATTCCAAGAGGAAAACCTAAGTATTTTAAAACTAGAATTGGGAACTACTGGCTTCGACTAATTTGCGGACAAAGTATTTGCAGATAAATGTTTGCGATTTTCCAAAATCACAGAGATTTTTGAATTCTAGTTTGAGGAAATGTGGCTTTTCGGAAAAACTCATGTTTTGAGTACCAGGAAAAGTGTATGGAGAAGACATGTTGATGATGATGCTGACGATTATGATACGGTTCAGATACACAACGTATTTTGATTAACCAGAGGCGGATCTCGGTTGTTTCAACTGAGCTAATTGATTTTCTGAAAAATCCTTTTTTGTTAAACTTTCAGCGCTCTCTGCAATTGTCTAGAAAAAACTTTTTTTTTGGTTTTTTGAAGTCTTAGAACCAAAAATTGAGTTTTCTTTTGGCGGCTCCCTTCTCAAAATTAGTTTATTAGAGCCAAGGGCACGTCTGGAAAAAATTAAGCGTATTTTGTCCAAGAACCAGTCTCGTAAATTAGTACCAAAGATAGGATTCTTCCTGTGGCGAAGGGGGAAGGCGTCCGATCCTCAAAACGTCCTTGTACCTAACGCATTTGAACAACAGTTTGACAACTTATTAGATATTACCACCTTTTTTATAGAAGTAAAGTACATGTGTTAATACATCTAACTTTTAGCTGGACGTAGCATGAATATTATCGAGTAGTAGTTTTATGTTGCATGTTTAGACAATGCAACATATTCTGTCTCTGCCCTACAAAATTAGAGACCCTGGTGTGAACGAAGTAACACTTGGAATATACGCTAAATGTGCCAACATCCCCCTCAGAACAAACCCGTTCCACAGCACCCCCAAGGAATCTTTCAAGCCATACCCCCTCAACTCCATATCAATACCCAACTGCAGTGCTAATTTCTCCCACTTCTGGAAGACAGTATCAGCAGCTGCGGCTGAGACTGTGGCTGCAGTTGAATTAGCAGAGCAGAGAACAAATCATTCGGGCGCCTCATCCGATTGGGGGGCAGGTGAGCTGAAGCTGACGAAGGCGAGGAGTGGGTGGGAGCCGACGACGGAGTTGCTGCAGGGCTTCAACAAAACAGACGAGGTGACAGGCAGAGTGAGGTCAGCTGCCACCAAATTGACAGTTGAGAGAGAACCTCTCTCGCACATCTGCTCGCCCTCTAGCGGCCATCGCCGTAGCTCAAACCACATCCATCTCATGTTTGTCATCATATCAGCACCCGCACATTTTGCCCTGAGATCTGCTATCAGAAACACATGGGGAAAGTTAAAATTCCACAATGGTGAGAATTTATTTTTAAAATTTTGTTTCCAACAAGATCCCAGCGGTGATTTATTGGTCGAATGAAACTGACAAATAAAAGTGATGATTTATTGTTTTTGATGTTAGCTAAGAAAATGATCCTTTTTCAATTATGGCTACCGAAAACAGGAAACTTCTCAATCCACTTGTTTTTTTTTTTGGTTTTTGGCAACCTTGTTTGTCTAATGTTGTGACCTAAGCTGCTGCTGTTTCAGGAGTTGAGATATCGCGAGTGTTTGTGCTGGGCTTGCCGGCAGATGACGACGGAGACCTGCTGTACTCAAACATAGAGGCTGAGGCTGATATTTACGAGGACATTGTCGTGTTCCAGCTCATTGACAACTACCGCAACGCCACTCCCAAAACGATCAATGGGTTAAACTGGGCTCTGGAGAACTGTGGGAGTGTGGACTACATCCAGAAGATAGACGACGACGCCATGGTCAACGTATTTGGACTGACTTATTATATCTCGCATTTTGCACCCAGTGAACGGCTCTACATGGGCCAGATCTCGAAGCAGGGCAAAGTGATGCGCAAGTTCGAAAAGGGAATGCCGGACAAGTTCAAGAAGTGGATCATCGACAAAGACCAGTATCCACCGGATACCTACCCGCCTTACGCTCTGGGGGGACCTGGGTATGTTCTATCACGTGACGTTGCAATGCAGTTTGTGGAGGAAGCGTGGCGAACGGAGATTTTTGTATTTGAAGATGCCTATGTTGGTATTTTGAACACTAAAATCAAAATCAATCCTGTCAGTCATTACCTGTTCAATAACAATGCCGTGGACAACACTCGCTGCGACTGCCACAAGTACTACGCTGCCCATTACCTGTCCTCCGCTCAGATGTGCGTCAACTGGTTTCATCTACACAGCCAATTGGTCAAGTGTCAGATCAGAAAGTGCAATTTCTAGTCGGCAAATAATTGTATTATTCAAATATCCCCCACTCCTATCACCGCGAGCAATGTCCTGGTCCAGCCAGCAACTGTACATGCATCGCTCAGACCGCACAAAACTCCTCCACATCTGTCCTACTCCTCCTCCTCATCCTCCTCCTCCCTCTCCTGCTCCTGCTCCTCCTCTTCGTCAACGCCTTTCTCCTGTAAATTGGACTGCTTGATTCTGCTTTCACAGATAGGCAGCTCTGTTCTAATCTACTCTGACTGTTGTCTTTCCTGTTCCAGTATTCGACGAAACCAATAGACCGCGAGCAACACACAACATAGAAGAAAAACAGCCACTAAAACTCTCTAAATCCCAGTTCTTTTGATATAATTTTTTCTGTATATTTTTGCCAGCTTTATGAAGATTGCTAGTCACATTTAGCAATTCGTTCAAACTTTGAAAACCACTTTTTTGGAATGTAATTAATATGATAGAGAAAAGTAGTTACCCAAAACGAGATTTTTCACCTAATTTGAAGCAAAATTTGAGCGGTTTGAGCGGTTTTTTTAGACGATTGCGTTCAAAATCTTGCTTTAAAATGAGCGGTTTGAGTAGTTTTTGAACGGTTTATTTGAGAAAACCGCCAAAACCGTTCAAATCTTGCGTGGTTTTTTTTAGATAAACCGTTCAAAAACCGCTCATTCTGAAGCAAGATTTTGAGCGCAATTGTCTAAAATGAACCGCTCAAGCCGCTCAAATCTTGAGCGGTTTTTGAGTGTTTTTTAGATAAACCGCTCAAAACCGTTCAAATCTTGCGCGGTTTTTGAGCGGTTTTTTTAGATAAACCGTTCAAAACCGTTCATATCTTGAGCAAGATTTTGAGCGCAATCGTCTAAAAAAACCGCTCAAACCGCTCAAATCTTGCTTCAAATTAAGTGAAAAATCTCGAGTCTGTACGTATGTGTGAACAGCAGTGTGTTTGCCTAGGCTGCTTCTTGGGTTTTCTACTATTGAGAAAAAAATCAATAAGCACGCGTTTCTTTAAGTTTGGTCAAACGCTGAGAAATTAGAATAACGGGTGAGCTACATGTTCAAAATGTCTTAAGAAACAGATGATATATTTTTCAGCTAATTAGCCAGGAAATTTTTTATTAGCTTAAATTAATGCTTGTAACTGCTCTTTCAAATTTTGGCGAAAAAAACAGGTTGGGCAATTGCCGAACCGGGATTATCAAATGAAACTTAAAGCTGCAATTTTTTTAACTTTCCAAAAATTTTAATAAAATTCAGCTGACAGAAAAAAAGAAAGAACTCGCAGCCATTTAAATGATAAACTTCTTGAATATTATATGATAGACAATGTCTTAAACCGATCGGCCATATGTTCTCGTTGTATGTTCAACTATAGCATAAATTATTGTGGTTACGATCCTATTTTACCATTTGCTCAGCAACACCCTCACCCCCAGTGGAGGCGAGAAACGGAGCGAGTTTAACGACAAACCTTAGTAATTGGCCTAATAGGGTCTTAACGGTTGCGGCGTGAGGGACGTTATCTTTACCGTAGTGCAACGCAGTTACTCGACCTAAGGGCTTTGACCAGGAAGGCTGCTGGTATCGACAATCCAAATGAGATCACCATTTCGAAAATCACGGTGCGTCTCGGCATGCCCTTTTGAGCGCTTTTTCAATGAAATGTTGTGTTCCCTCCGCCAGCGCTGTCAAATTGCGTTTGCGTAGGCTTGGTCAAAATTTTCATCCAGTTTTAGCGACGGAAACCTAACTGAGTTCTCGCCTAGTCGCAAATGGTTAGGCGCTAATGCTTTCAAGTCAGTTAAGTCGGGACCAATGGACGTTATTGGACGGGCCCCTAATGATTTAGTTTACTAAGGAAAACAAGTTTGAAAATACCTCATCCGTTAAATTGCGATTATCATGGATTGCGTAGTAAAACACGTTTACAACAGCTCACTAACTTTCCCAGGACCCAACATAGTGCGGCACGCCAGGAGTATTGTACTTCCATTTAATCCCGTCATACACTAACAATGAGGGTCATGTACATTCCAATTTTCTAAGCAAACAGAAATCTTTTCTTTGCTCCAACGAAATTGGTACCGTTGTCTGCAAACACAACGCTTGGCGTACTACGGCTGGTGATAAATCTTTCAACCCCCGCCCTTAGAGCCGCTGACGGAATAGCTTCGACGTGTACGTAATGTTGTACGTGTAAAAAAAGACGTGTACGCAAACAATCATGTAAAGTGAATCAAAATAGTCCCCCCAGCGTTACTGACTGGCTGTTGTTGATAATCAAGCCGTTAGAGAGGGTGGTCAAACATCAATGGATGTAATGTGCGTGCCCTGCTTTTTCTGCAGTTAAAACAATAATCCTCAATTGCACGGGTGTTAGCTCGCAGACCCATCACCGCAAACCCCATATGTATTATGGATCGCAAGTAATCCAAGTGTTGATGAATGTGGCCGAAGTGCATATGACTAAGAAACACTTTCATCAATAACTGACGAGAATCCGCAAAGATGGGAAGCTTAGTTTCGAAGTTTTTTCTGCAGAATTTTTTGAAAGGATAGTATTGATAACATCCAGATTCGGTTTGAAAGGCCACTCATCGTCTAAGAGGAATATCAGACCCCTGACTCAATTGCTTTCAATGAGGCATTCCGGTGATTTTACGCGTGCCCCAGTGCCCGCGAGATTATTTGCACTATTCACGTGGAATCATTACCACCAAGTGGGAGTTCCCTAATTCACAAACACGGTTTGCGACAAAAGACCGTAACTTATCGCCGGAGAGTAGCCATTGTAACCTCGGAAGGCTATCGGTTCAAACGAAGTTGCGGGTTATACTGATTGAAAGTGCGCATAGTATATCTTCTTTTACCGAGATACCTGTAAGATTGCCTGCATTTCCAGCTTCGGAAGGAACAAAGCCATCATTAGTGCTATCCTTGCTCTGCAAAATACAGTCGCAAGTTCTTTCTTTATGAGTCTGAGTAACCCGAACTTGAAGGAAACCAACCGCTCAAACGACTTCTTATGAGCTCTCTCCAAATATATACAGCTCGTATTGATCAAATGGGTTACTGAAGTAGCACTGGGAAGTGACTATTTCTCCTAGGACAACCAGTCTTCAATGCCAGTCAATGAAATGCTTCCAGAGCGCTTCGGAAAGGAACCATCACATTCAGAAATGTCTTCAAGAAGCAGGCGATCTCTTGCCGTGCGAAGAGCCACTAAGTTAATAGGGTCGGAGACCCATGAAATAAAACTGTGATCAGTTCGTTGCGTAATGGATGTTTGGAACTCACTGTTAATTCCACGAATTAAGACTGTAAAATCATTTCAATAGTTCAGTTTTAGCCCTAACACATGATATTTCAAATGGAAAAATTGTCAATTGAAGAGTATATGTTTACTTAAATTACAAGACCACTACTAACAAACTTGGTGAGACGGACTAGCCCTCAATTTAAGAAAGTTCACCAGATTCTTGCTTATTCTCCTTGCATCTCCGCAATTTTTGAATGGATCTAAGAAATCATCAAAAAAAACATAGTAAATTCTGCTCTAGAAGCTTCAGGAAATTTTTCGACATCATCTCTGGCTGTTTTCTGAACTAAGAAATTCGGGTACGTTCGGGATTCCCGGGCACCGAAACTATAGCGGGCTTACTGAAAAACTTCCACATCCACTGGGGCATCCTCCGGCCACGAAAAGCGCACAGCAGACTAAACATAAGGGGGGTACCGCAAGCTGGAAGAATATACCCTCGATGCCCGCGTAGACGGCAACTGATGATGGCGGAAGCGCATTAGATCGTGTAACAAACTCAAGCTGAAGTTCAGGCCCAAAGAGCAAAGATTTGTTTAAAGACTAGCCGTGGAGTTTTGACGCCCGATTTAAAATCCGATGAACCTCACTTTGCTGGTTTGTGTGGAGGACGGGATGTCGACAAAACGCAGCTCACGGGTGGATAAAAGCTACGGTTCGTGCGATTTAAATGGAATGACAAAACCTTTAATAAGGTCGTCTTTTGTTTGTCTCAGTGTATTTATTTATTAAACCTCGATCTTTTTCGAGCCATTTTTCATGCGTCATGAACTAGCGTTGAGTAGTAATTATTGGTTATTTACTGCTACAATTGGCCCACAACTTTCTTACCCATTACCTTCACCATCATTATATGTTGATGATTCAAAATAGTTATGCGCCCGCTGATCGGCTGCGGAACAAGCATCAGCTTGATTGAATAAACGGCTTTGATACTGCACTTACAACAAGTTGATAACAACCCAGATGGTGAGGGAGGTTGGTCTCTCAGAACACATCCTACCGAGAGAGGAGCAGCCACTGGAATTTCTCTACCCTTATCATGAATATAACCGGGCATGCAATTCTGGTGGTCAAAATCCTGACCTTTTATTTTTTCGATGTCCAAAAAATCAAACCAAGTTGTTTTGATTGTTTCAAGTGTGAATTTTTTTTCTTGAAAAACCATAACATCAATGTATCAGACCCAACTTACTAATCACATAATCAGTTTTTTCTATATCAGCGGATAAAATTACTTGACTAATTCAGTCAAAATATTATCCGTTGAATCAAAACTTTTTAGGATCAAATCAATTTTTTCCTAACATTTTCAGACGGCTGGCCCAACTTGCGGAAATCTGGGTTTGATTTCTCGCGGAATCACAAAAAACGAGAGTGTTATCAGTTGAGAGAGCTTAGATGAAAGACAACTCAATAACCTAAAGAAAAACTTTACCGTCCTGTACGGATGCGGAACAAAATGACGTTTACTTTTCCGCGGGAGCTTTTCTGGTAGAAGATATACTTTTTTTCCTTTTGAGCAGAAACTGTGCAATCTGCGTCATGCAATATAACACTGTGCGTTTTTTGGGACTCAGGTTTTTTGCATTCTTTTCAGTCTCTGGGTAATTGCGGAACATGTGGTCCCCAAGGAAACAGCAGAAACAACCTTTTTTCTAAGCAAAAAATTTCGCCTCTAGGAGAATGTTTTTTCCCTTGAAGACTTTGCAACCCCATAACGGATGTTTTCAGGCACACGACATGCGGGACATATATTCAACTTTGCTTGGCTTAGTACTAAAAGAAAAAAATGGGTGGTAGTTTTCGCCTGACGGCATTCGGTTATTGCTGGGATACTCGCTCGTGTTGCGATTGAAAGTGTAAATTGCTCGTCTGCTATTCAACTGTTCTGGAACAGATTTTGGAGGCGCAGATGATGTTACCATTTCAAATACGTGCAATGTTCCAATCAAAGTTAACGGGTTAACAACTGAAGGGGCCGTTTTTGCATTTGAAGGAAATCACAATGCGATGTTTGGGTTATAGAACTGGCTGAAGTTTTTATAAAGAACTACAGAGTGTACTGCTAAAATAATTTTCTTATGAGAGGTAAATTTGAAAAAGACAGC